CCTTGGGCAAAAGTCGTATGGAGGAGGTAAATTTTTTTTTCGGGGGAACTTTGAAAATCATCAACACGGGAAAATTTCTGTTTAACAGTTCGAAAACACCGATACTAGGGGAAAATACCGATGCCTCTCATGTCGTAAATGAACTAATCGGATGATAAAATATTCAAGTATTTTCGAAAAAATTAACTAAATAACATGATGATGGTTCGGTTTGAACCTTTTTCACAATTTTACTGAAACATAACCTACATTTCAGCCTCCAGAATTTTAAGATTGCACAATGAGCTGAAAAGAAGTCCGGATCCGATCTCCGGGTCTAATACGCAGGCATACATAATGTTGATCCCAAAATTCCTCTTTATCCTCCTTTTTCATTGATCCTTCCAAGTGGTATAAAATCAGATTAAATATGATATGATGGTATTAGACAGTCGACAATTTTCGAAATCCTCGCAACACGTTGCAAATCATTTCTGGCTGAAAAACTTCAAGAATTCCCTATATGAATCCTTTCGTTTACGCGTAAGAGCTGCGCCAAAGCCCTAGGGATTCCACTCCAGCAGCACTACTCAAATCAACAGTAAGTTCATTTGAGCCTGAGCCTAATTTGGCACGCATGTTTAGCCGTATCCTGGCTCTCATGCTACTGTTTTCCTGTGGAAATCTACTTTCACTGAACGATGCAAAAAAGCAGAAGTGGATTCGAGCCTGAGCCAAGATCAACCTGTTTTATTGGGCGCTTCGCGGCTCACATACTGCTATTTTCTTGGAGAATTACATTCCTATGGTCCCGCTTAAAACAACAGTAAGTACATTTGAATTTGAGCCTTGTTTAGCTAGTATCTTTAGCCGCTTTGCGGCTCACTTACTGCCGTTTCTCGGAGGATGTTAAGACGGGAGGATGAATCAACCCGGGGACAAGGAGCGCGCGGCATTTTTCATTTAGTCTTAACGGAGGCTTAACAGCTGAAAATGAGGCTTTAAACACTCTTAATATGCATAAAAGGGCGGATAAATAATGGAGCCGTGAACTTTTGGGAGCCTCCGAATCGAATTAACCCATCGCCGCACAGAGGAAAGAGCCATTCGGTGGAGTCGCTCATGATATTTTTGACTAAAACTTCGAATTTGGATGTTTTTCCGTCTTGATATCAATGTTGAGGAGTGAATTCAATGTGGATCCAGAGGGAGCGTACGCCCTCCCCCCCCCCCCCCCCCNNGCGAAAGAAAGAAAGAAGAAAGAAGGACGCTTATATTAGGACGTATTACTATCACACGGTATTATGTGCATCAAGACATGAGCCCTGAGACCCTTAAAAATATATCGACGGTGCAAGTCGGCAATCACATAACTCGTTTGCGGTGTCTGAAAATCTCAGCAACTATGTTATTTTTTTAAAGGAGAACAAATGGACATGATTCCTTGAAGTTTTTGCAGAATTTTCCTCGAACATAGAAGAAAAATCACGGCAGTTTTAAAGAATTACCGTTGAGTAGTTTTCCGTTTAAAAAATACAGTATGACAGGAAGTCTGCGACGTCGCAAATCGAGTTATGTGATTGCCGACTTTCACCGTCGATATGCGTAACAGGGCTCATGTCATAATACACATAGTTTCGTTCGACAGAAATGCGTCTATTTGGTACATGTAATTGTATTTGTGACGAAATTGACTCAAACTGCATGTTAGATGCTTTGAATATTTTCGAGGGGGGAAAACCCCCTGGACCCCCCTCGCGCACCCCCATTCGAAGTTTTTGGATCCGATCCTGGGTGATTCTTGATGAAAATTTTACGAGAAAACCAACGGAACGATTTTCAAGCTTCTCAGTTTCATATTTACGTGAATGGAAGTTTTCAAAGTTGCCACGTCATTTCGGAGTGAGCATAGGTGTAACTACAGCAAGTTGTTTAAACTTAAACAACACGGGGAACAAACAATGCATGATTGAGAAGTCTGAGAATCGAGGACTCATTTTTTCTCCAGTTGAAACGAAATTGTATAATTTATTGCGAAAAATTCCGTTTTTACTTTCTCGCTCCCATAGGGTAGAGAGGAAGTATTGTCATCCTTCAAGAAAAAAAAAAAGAAAAAGTTGAAATTTCATCATTTCTAGACGTTTTAAGGTCCCAGGAGTAAAAATAACCATACTTGAAAAAATGTGTGTCCGTCCGTGTGGCGTCCCCCAAATCTGTCTACAGCGATATCTCAGAATCTATCTGTTCGATTTCATTCAAAATTGGCACAGGACACCATATCTATGGTCTCCTTATGCACGTCCAACGATTTTTTTTAAAAATGTATCCTTCGTTTTGTTGTGCAGCCTTTTCCCCAAATTAATTTGTCATCACATTGTCTACTGGCACATTTTTCTCCCGAAGCCCCACGCATATTAACCACGGCACCTCACATTCAACTAACATGGTGGCAAAACAATCATCGTATCCAACATGTTGCTCGAAAGCTCTCCAGTTCTACCAGCTCCACTGTGCGGCGAGCTCAGTTACCCAGTTCAGCGGCTGAAAAATTAACCCCCGCTTGAGCTTCCGGCCTCATTAGGAGTCGCTTCAATTCCTAATCAAGGAGCTCTGCGCTCGGTTTTCGGCGGAGAAAGGGTGTCGCGGACAGCCTTAAGAAATCCGTAACTCCGCTCATGTCGCCCCGTGGACAAAACCGCGTATCCCCCTCATCGCGCTTCCGTGGAACAGGACGGCGGATAGGGCTCATCCGGCGGTGGAGATAGGCGGTTGCGTCGGCGGGGCGACGATGTGTCGAGTTGGGCGGAATGCCGGGCCCGGGATATTTGCCNCGGCAGTGAAATGGGTCGTTGCTTGTGTTGCGGAATCGAGGTTTGATGGATACGTATAAAAGATCCGCTCGCATGCCGGTTTTTTAAAGAGATTGCCCGTCGGGATGACGTCATTCGGAGACTTAGTGTGTGATTACTTACACCTCGAACAATGTCTTTTTTATTCGAAAATTGAGGGTCTTGGAGGACAAACGGCATAAATACAGTTTCTGAAAAAATTGAAAAATTCATGATTTAAAGAAACTAGTCTTAATGCATATTTTTTTAAAACTTTGCTCTTAAATTCCAATTTTTAAGCACCAAAAAGTTAATTTGACCTTTCTCTGCGGCATCAGGATCCAGGTAACTTAGAGACGTCAAACACGTATTCCTCGAAATGGCAAAAATTGCACTAAAGCGCCTTGTCTTACGAGCCTCTCAATTGAAAACATTGAGAATTTCTTTGATTAAATAATCTGTAGTCTCACTGCTCTGCTCCTGTCACCTTGAACAAACACCCTCCTCAATTTTGTTGTACTAAGAGCAGAGTAGGAGGCAGAATGCACTTTCGGTGAAGGTAGCACTAAGAACAGTGCAGGATGCAGAATGCACTTTCGTTAGTAGGTCAATAGACCTCTGGTGAATTTTGACTTACAAATACACTGCCCCAAATGTAAATGAAGCGAAGAAACATGATTTGCATATAAAAAACGCAAAGAGGTAACTCAAAAACTGAGAAATGCGCAGTTCAAAAAGCATCACTTATCCGCAAATTTAAAGCGCCTCGATTCTAAACGCCTCGCTTTCGCGCCAAACAGAGAAATTTGGGTATTTTTAATTCGCGGATGAATTGCGCTTTTCGAACCGTACATTTCTCAGTTTTTAAGTTAATTTTTCGCGTTTTCAATGTGCGCATCAGGTTCTACTCGCCATTTACCTTCCGATAAACGTATCTGCAATTCAAAATTATTTCATAGTTTACGGACCCATTTTCGATTTTTAAAATCATCCCGACAAAAATCGCTCGACCGGAAACTTTGCCTCCGCGAACCAAAGTGCCTTTTTCCATGGTCATTCACATTTCGGCGGGTTATTTTTCTGTCCGATGAATTCGCTCGAATCCGAACGTTGGACGATCTGAAGGGCCACATTCCCCGGAGAGACCGGGTGGCTGGACCGGAAAATGGTGGACAGAGCCGGCAAGCGCGCGAGGCGAGCGATTGATACGAGTATTGGGATAAACACGGCGAACGTATAATTACAAATAACGTCCCGTTGAAAGGGCGAATAAGCGAGAGAGCGCTTCTCGTAAACGCGCGCCCCCGATCCCGATTGCGTTTGCGATTGCATTAGAGCCAGAATTAATCTTTCATTCATACTCGCTTATTCACTCGCGCGTCCGAGCCAGCGCGTCTGCCCTCCCTCAAAACGCTCGCTTGTCTTGTTTTCCCAGCCAGCTTGCCATCCTATACAAAATCACTCTTTTTAACATGTATACGGGGTTGCCACAGAATGAAGATATTGAATTTCCAGGATTTCCAGAATTGGGATTTCCAGAAAGGATCGCGGCAGGAATGAGACGGTACGGGAGATCATGGATGCCGAACAGACCATCGTGCATGACATTTAGGCGAAACAACTTATTTGGTATGGTCATGTTCAGAGAATGGCAGGAGACAGGTTGCCGAAGAAGGTCCTTGATTGGGTTCCTCCTGGGAGGAGGCGCAGAAGGCGTCCAATAAGAGGTTGGAGGGAAGGGATTAAAGCAGAAATTTCAAGGTGCTCAATGCCCCAAGGGTTGTGGTTCGACAGAGAGCAGTGGAGGTTAGAAGTTGCAGAGCGCCAGGGAGTGCTATAGAGCGATCTATATGTATGTAAATTTCCAGATCACTCCCTGATTTTCCTAAGACATTTTTAAAAAAATGTAAAATTGTAAATGTAAAAATGTAAAATGTGAATTTTGTAAAATTTCCTGACGCTTATGGAAATGCCAGATGATTCAAACAGATGAAGAAATACCGAACAAACTTTGCTAAATTACCGTTTTAAGTTTGAATTTTTGCGGGGAAAAGGAGGTTCAATACTGCAAAAGACAAATTTTAGTTGTTTTCTCAAAAAGCCAATGGATATCGATAGGGAACACTACACGACGGTAAAAGTTCAAAAATTATACTTGGATAAGTGAGTTTTACGGAAATAATGAGTACTTACAGTGGATGCAGTGTAAAAAACAGCAAAAGAAGATGGTGAACTTGAGTATATTTTCCATTTATCAGTCACGTGTTTGAGATATACCTGAAACAAACGATAAATCCATTTAAATTTACCTCGGAGAAAAATGATTGTTATTTAGAAGTATTTCTGCTAAACGGAACTACGTGCATTATGACGTGAGCCCTGTTATGCATTTATTCTTATGGGTCTCAGGACTCATGTCTCAACGCACATAGCTCCGTTTGGCAGAAATATGTCCATTTAAGACCACTCTATGTGCGGCATGTGATGCAATTGAACGAGAACACATGGATGACGAGAGGGTTATTGTGAATCGAAGAAAAATACTCGTCCTCATTTCATCAGACAACATGACATTCTCATACCACGAAAAAATACGTCCGAGCGATTCTGCTGAGACAGCCGGAGCGCCTTCAATTTAGAGGATGAAACACGCACATCCCAGAAGCAGCAATAGTTGTAGCCGAGCGCGGCGTTACCACTGAGAAATCAGAAGCTCAATCAATCCGTCGCTTGGCTGACATAAGGGCGTAACTACACATTGAGATGAGCCCGGAAAAACGTTGAATTGTATGGAAGACAGGGTTCATTGCAGAGTGTAGTTACGCCCTTATGTCTGGTAGGCAAAGAATATTGGTGTATCCTACTTCCCTCATTTTTCAAATGATGATTATTTCCAAGAAAAATGTGATCTTTCCATTTTTGAAAGAGGTGCGGAATTTTCTCTGATGACAAGTATCCTTACTGAGGAAGAGTGATTAAAACCTTAGAGTGAGCTTTTCTGGGAGGACAATCCATTTTGCCACCCACCCACGTCATTTTTTACACGACATAAATGAAGAAGATACGAACAGCCCGCGATATTTTTGACTGGTGTCATAGAAAGGTATCACCATAGATAGATATTATTCAATAAGGACGGACACAATAGCCATTCATTCATGTCTGAATAGGTATATTTCCTTCAACAAATGCGTTTTATTGCAGCAGGGGCTGTCACCGTCCATAATATCCAACCACTTGTGGCTCAGAAGAAGCACACTATAAAGTAATGACGTTTATCACTTCAATATATTGTCCTCGATTTCTTTGCTTTACGAGATCCTCTTGAAATACACCTACGACTTTGGATATTCTAGAGTTAGGCTCAATGTCTTTCGACAATAAACATCTCGGACTATTTGAGTTCCCACCTCCTCCATAAGGTTTCACTACGAGCAAAAGTGTCTTTATAAATATTGCTAATATGCCGCAAAATCCGTCTGAGGATGGAAAATTTCCGATGATAAAATACGAAATTTTAAAGAAGTCCCTGGACATTTTTCCCTCAAATTTTCATCGAATTGTATCCACAATATGCTCTAAATTATCTTAAAATTTCAAGAGAAAATATTCACAACTCTTCTTAAAAATAAACATTTTATTTCAGAGAAATTAGCGTCTGTCTGATGTTCATACGGCATTTTTCTTCAGCACGGCAGTATTGCGCAAAAGCCTTTTTTCTATACTTGAAATGAAGTTATCGATGGCTAAAGCGCGAAACCACGATTTTGCATTAGAGTATTGCACAATTTCCGAAATTTTATTTTCCGTAAGAAGAAACCGAATATTCTACTGACAGAGGAAGTCTGGAACGTTGCAAACGGAGATACGTGGTTTCCCACTATAGCAATCGATATGAACGGTTTGCTTAAAGCTATTTGATTCATCTTAAGCGCCCCATTTCAGGCGAAGCGCTGGGACGATGCATGAAATGCATGAAAGAGGAAATCTACAAAAAATAAGGGAGTACACCACTCGAGCATGTCCCGGTTCAGCTGCCGCCGCACAATGGATGGAACCGTAGGCGAGGTCGGACATGGTGCAGCAACTCTAAAAGCTTGTGTCTTCGTTAGTACTAAACGTGGACTTTTAAAGGTGGTTACATTTTTTTGCTCGCAAAAATCCCTATCGAAGTGTCGCAAGCGATCAGTAATCGTCGGCGATTTGGAAGTGGTTTAAGATTTTTTCAGATAAAGCGCATTGATTCGCATTGGCATCGTGACGATTTTATGGAAAATGACCTTCAAAATCATGATCTCGGCTTAGAGCGCCTTCAATTTGTGTGATACTCTACGCTGTGTCATGGAGTTAGTTCAATCAGTCCCATCTAAATTAAGATAAGGCCACAGATTTCACTACACGCTTTCCCGAACGTGTTCGTTACCACCAGGTTTTGCGAAGGAAAAAGTATCGAATCACGTTAAAGGCAAAATAGTTAGTGCTCAAATATTGTTCGTTTATTTCTGAATTGTATGCTTATCGATTTATTCACTAGCGAGAAAAAACACTAAGAAATTACCTGAACCGTATGTATCAAGTGGTGAAATGGTGCTAGGTCCACACCATTTTGCGGGGTAAACAAAGCTATAAAGTTGCAAAAACAAATAGAGTCAACAATTTTTGAGCTCTAATGAGTACCTACCAGTACAAGTTGGAGGGGGGAGAGTTTTCAGCAGAGGCAGCTTGGATTGGAATATTAAGTTGAGTTCACGCCGAGAGATCTATAACGTTGTGGGTTTTTTGGGACCTCGTCAGTAGATCACACTTATCAGTGAACCCAACTCAGCATCCATCAAAATCAAAGACGCTATCGAGATGTCATAAATATGACGCGAGGCATGACGCAAAAAGTGTATGATCCTTACGTCATCTGCCGTCGCTGCTATACATCTTTCATAACAAATCATGAAAAGCACAAACAAATTCATTCACTAGTGACTTGCCTATTTCCGGCGATTGCCAATTACCGGAGATAGAGGCATTATTTGAAATTAAAATGTGACAGGATGAACTTCTAAGTAAGCAATTTTAGTCAAAAATTGTATGTGCGATCTCTCCTAAATAATTGACTAAATTTTGGAATAAGGAACCACGATTGGACTACATTCTGCAATTTGGAACTTCAGTTTTTGGCTCATCCGTAAAAAACCTATGTGCATGGAGAAATTCATGGCACATACGTTGTTCCTAAACTGAGCCAGAAATTGTAGTTCCTCATTGCAAAATGTGGTCCAATTTCCGGCTCATTTTAGAAACAACGTACGCCCTGTTAGTTTCTCTGCGCAGATGGGTGGTTTGGCAGATATGTCAGGTATTTTTGTCCCCTTTCGCAGAACGACGTCCAAATAGTTCCACTGCGCGACGCGAGGCGTCCGGCGACGAACAATGACCTGTCACATCCCGTTAGCCGCGCGGCGCTGAAGCGCGGACTTTTTTCAGGGCACCTGAAGGAGCGGCCGNCTATAAAGCGATCTATATGTATGTAAATTTCCGGATAACTCCCTGATTTTCCTGAGACATTTTTAAAAAAATGTGAAATTGTAAATGTCAAAATGTAAAATGTGAATTTTGTAAAATTCATTGACACTTATGGACATGCCAGATGATTTAAAAGACGTAATTTAATAGTTACCACGTAAAATCTGTCGTTCGAATTGTCAAACCCATTCTGGAGAGCAAATGAAGGTGATTAAACAATTTTTCCCTGATACTTTCGTCATTTTCTTTTACTCTTCAAAACTCCCCAATTGAGGAGCTTTCCGGAAGAAGGGCACATGGCAAAAAATTGCGTTTGAGAGAAATGCACTAGAAGTTTTGATCATGACTCTATGGCTACTGGCAGTGACTTTCGTTCGAAATCGGGAATCCAAGCTGCGATGAAAGGTACCATCAGTGGCCAGAAATGAATGATGGAAACTTAAAATGCATTGTTCTCAAACGCTATTTTTTGCTATGTGCCCTTTTTCCAGAAAGCTCCTCAATTTTCCTAGTATTCCCAGATCGTGGCATTCCTGTATATAGAGATGTCTAACGAACGATACGGCCTATCTGCAAACTGACGATTTCGCAGAATTAAGAGAAAACTTCGCCATTTTCGTAAATTCCAGATTAGATTCGCAATAATTTCATACATTGCAGCGTCATTGTAGCACTCTCCTGCAGAATTGGGAAAAAAACTAAAATCATCAGCTTGCGACTTTCTTTAAAGAATGCGGGGAATTCGCTAACAAATTTTATGCCAAAATCGTCAGTTAGGTGGTATTGTTCGTTAACCCTCGATAGACACATCGGTCAAATGGTGCCGTATTCATGGTCATTCCTAGAACACTCCCTTTCCTGAGTAAGACAAAATGGTGTACATTGTGGTGTTACGTTGTGATGTTATCAGTGCGTTATAATTCGCCTTAATCTTGCTGTGCAGGCAAAATCACCTCCGCCGAGTTCGAATAGTTATCGTCTCCCCTTGAATCGATCCATCTACTGAACACAACGGTCATACGAATTTACGGCAACGTGTTCGAGAAAAAATGATGTGGAGATCGCCTTTATCTTACCGTATAGGCAAAATCACTTCCGCCGAGTTCGAATAAATATCGCATGCGCCTTGAATAAATCCGTTTACTAAGCGTCCACGCAGCAATGGTCATATTCATGCGCGGCATCAAGTTCCGGAAGCAAGGCTGCGCAAGTCGCCTTCATCTTGCCGTGTAGGCAAAATCACCTCCGCGGAGTTAAAATAGTTATCGCTTGCGCCTTGCATAAATTCATCAGCTAAGCAGATTTCTAACAGTACATTACAAAAAAACTACCTTCACGAATGTCGAGTTAATTCAACAAGTTAATCTGGAAATTATATCGCTGATATGATTTTCTTCCTAAAAAATTTAAAATGCAGAGGATGGATGTTTACAGACTTTAAAATTTTTAAGGTGTGTCACATCTTGCTCTTTACTGCAATCCTTGGATCTTTCCTTCCGAATTTTTTAATTTTTCTATCGGCAAATCCTTGTTAACCCTTGCAAGGATCTATTCCTGAAGTTATATCGTTGCACTTCACGCGAGAATCGTTGAAATTGTCCTTTATATGGAGACGAGTTCAAGATCTCCTTAAAACTCCTTATGACGCAGTGTAAACTAACTTCCGACGGAAAGTCGCTGTTTAAGAGACGACTTTACATACAACCAAAAGTATGTCTCTACTTTTAGGAAAATCTACCCTGGATTCAAACAGATGAAGAAATACCGAACAAACTTTGCTAAATTACTGGTTTAAGTTTGAATTTTTGCGGGGAAAAAGAGGTTCAATACTGCAAAAGACACATTTTAGCTATTTTCTCAAAAAGCCGATGACTATTGATCAAGAAATACACAACGTTAAAAGTTCAAGAATTATACTTGGATAAGTGAGTTTTACAGAAATAATGAGTACTTACAGTGGATGCAGTGTAAAAAACAGCAAAAGAAGATGGTGAACTTGAGTATATTTTCCATTTATCAGTCACGTGTTTGAGATATACCTGAAACAAACCATAAATCCATTTAAATTTACCTCGGAGAAATATGATTGTTATTTAGAAGTATTTCTGCAAAACGGAACTACGTGCAGTATGACGTGAGCCCTGTTATGCATTTATTCTCATGGGTCTCATGACTCATACCTCAATGCACATAGCTCCGTTTGGTAGAAATATGTCTATTTAAGACCAATCACTGTGCGGCATTTAATGCAATTGAACGAGAATATACTGAAAGAGCACATAGAAGACGAGCGGGTTATCGTGAATCGAAGAAAAACACTCGTCTTCATTTCATCTCCGAGACAACATGACATGTTCATACCTCGAAAAAATACATCCGAGCGATTCTGCTAAGACAGCCGAAGCGCCTTCAATTTAGAGGACGAAACACGCACATCCTTGAAGCAGGAATAGTTGTAGCCGAGCGCGGCGTTACCACTGAGAAAGCTGAAGCTCCATCAATTTGTCGCTTGGCTGGCATAAGGGCGTAACTACACATTGAGATGAGCCCGGAAAAACGTTGAATTTCATGAACGACAGGGTTCATTGCAGAGTGTAGTTACGCCCTTAAGTCAGATAGGCGACGAATATTGGTGTATGCAGCAGGGACATCCATAGAGTGCGAATAGTCGCGTCAAGATCATAGTGTGGTTGTCACACTGTACAGTTGAACGTATTCCTGTCAAACGGAACTATGTGCATTAAGACGTGAGCCCTGAGATCCATAAAAATACATGCATAACAGGGCCCACGTCATTATGCACATGGTTCCGTTTGATAGAAATACATCCAGTTTATACCTAAAAACCGGAAGTGCGCATTCTTACTTTTACATGCGTTCAGGATCACGTTTAAAATGAAAAATTGTAAGCGGTGCGGTCAATGTTCCATCACGCTAATTAATTCGATAATGTTCCGTTTCGTTTAAAATCGTGGATTGTTGTATCGCATTACTGCGTATAGTTTTTAGAATACGTTAGACACTAATTTCAAAACATTATCGAGTTCATTGGCGTAGTTCGGAAATCCTACTTCTCTCATTTTTCAAATCATGATTATTTCCAAGAAAAATGTAATATTTCCATTTTTGAAAGAGGTGCGGAATTTTATCTAATGACAAGTGCCTTTACTGAGAAAGAGTGATTAAAACCTTAGAGTGAGCTTTTCTGGAAGGGCAATTCATTTTTTCACCCACCCACGTTATTTTTTACACGGCATAAATGAAGACGATACGAACAGCCAGCGATATTTTTGACTGGTGTCGTAGAAAGGTATCATCATAGATGGATATTATTCAATAAGGACGGACACAATAGCCATTCATTCATCTTTGAATAGGTATATTTCCTTCAACAAATGCGTTTTATTGCAGCAGGGGCTGTCACCGTCCATAATATCCGACCACTTGTGGCTCAGCAGAAGCACACTATAAAGTAATGACGTTTATCACTTCAATATATTGTCCTCGATTTCTTTGCTTTACGAGATCCTCTTGAAAAACACCTACGACTTTAGATATTCTAGAGATAGGCTCGATTTCTTTCGACAATAAATATCTTGAACTATTTGAGTTCCCACCTTCTCCATAAGCTTTCACTACGAGAAAAAGTGTCTTTATAAATATAATACGCTGCAAAATCCTTCTAAGAATACGAAATTTCCTATGATAAAATACCGACTTTTAAGGAAGTCTCTGAACATTTTTCTCTCAAGTTTTCAGCGAATACTATTCACAATATGCTGTAAATTATCTGAAAATTTCAAGAGAAAATATCTACAACTCTTCTTAAAAATAAACATTTTATTGCAGGGAAATTAGCGTCTGTCTGATGTTCATACAGCATTTTTCTTCGGCACGGCAGTATTGCGCAATAGTCTTTCTAAACTTAGAATAAAGTTATCGATGGCCAAAGCGCGAAACCACGTAATTACATTACAGTGTTGCAGAATTTCCGAAATTTTAATTTCCGTTAGAAATTTAAACCGAATATTCTGCTGACAGAGAATGAATTTCAGTAGAGTTTGCGAGAAATTACATTGACTAGTTTTCTGGGGGAAAAAAAATTAAGTTCAATAGGAGATCTGGAACGTTGCAAACGGAGTTACGTGGTTTCGCACTTTAGCAATAATCGATATGAATGGTTTGCTTAAAGCTATTTCATTCATCTTAAGCGCCCCATTTCAGGCGAAGCGCTGGGACGATGCATGAAATGCATGAAAGAGGAAATCTACAAAAAATAAGGGAGTACACCACTCGAGCATGTCCCGGTTCAGATGCCGCCGCACAAGGGAGGGAATCATGGGCGAGGTCGGACATGGTGCAGCAACTCTAAAAGCTTGTGTCTTCGTTAGTACTAAACTTGGAATTTTAAAGGTGGCTACATTTTTTTGCTCGCAAACGTCCTTTTCGAAGTGTCGCAAGCGATCAGTAATCGTCGGCGATTTGGAGGCGGTTCAAGATTTTTTTCAAATAAAGCGCATTGATTCGCATTGGCATAGTGACGGTTCTATGGAAAATGGCCTTCAAGATCATGACCTCGGCTTGGAGCGCCTTCACTTTTTGTGATACTCAACGCTGTGTCATGGAGTTAGTTCAATCAGTCCCATCGAAATTCAGACAAGGCCATAGATTTCCTACTTGCTTTCGCGAACGTGTTCGTTACCACCAGGTTTTGCGGAGGAGAAAGTGTTTAATCACGTTAAAGGCAAAATAATTAATGCTCAAATCTTGTTCGTTTATTTCTGAATTGTATGCTTTTCGATTTTTTATATAACGAGAAAAAACACTAAGAAATGGCCTAAACGGTATGTACCAGGTGGTGAAATGATGCTAGGTCCACACTATTTTGCGGGGAAAACAAAACCGAAAATTTGCAAAAAATTTCAAATGGAGTCAACAATTTTTGAGCTCTAATAAGTACCATTACAAGTCTGAGGAGGGAGAGTGTTCAGCTGAGGCAGCTTGCGTTGGAATATTAAGTTGAGATCACGCCGAGCGATCTATAGAACGTTTTGGGTTTTCGGGACCTCATCAGTAGATCACACTCATCAGTAAACCCAACTCAGCATCCATCAAAATCAAAGACGCAATCGAGACGTCATCATATATATGAAGCGAGGCATAACGCAAAAAGTGTGATCCTCACGTCATCCACCGTCGCTGCCATACATCTCTCATAACAAAACATGAAAAGCACAAACAAATTCATTCACTAATGACTTGCCTATTTTTGGCGATTGCTAATTACCGGAGATAGGGGCATTACTTAAAATTATAATGCGACAGAATTAACCTCTAAGTCCACAATTTTAGTCAAAAATTGTATGGGCGATCGCTCCTAATTAATGGACTAAATTTTGGGATAAGGAACTTCGATTGGACTACATTTTGCAATTTGGAACTTCAGTTTCTGGCTCATCCGTAAAAACCTATGTGCATGGAGAAATTAATGACACATACGTTGCTTCTAAACTGAGCCAGAAATTGTAGTTCCTCATTTCAAAATGTGGTACAACTTTCGGTTCATTTTTGAAACAACGTACGCCTCATTAGTTTCTGTGCAGATGGGTGCTTTTACGAATGGGTCAGAAATTTTTGTCCCATTTTGCAAAACGACGTCTAAATGGTTCCACTGCGCGACGCGAGGCGTCCGGCGACGAACAATGACCTGTCACATCCCGTTAGCCGCGCGGCGCTGAAGCGCGGACTTTTTTCAGGGCACCTGAAGGAGCGGCCGG